GAATTGCGTCCGCTCCCCCTGGGCCAGGATCACTCGTAAACTACGCTGCGTCCGCGCTTCCAAGGCCGCGCTCCCTTGTGAATGACGCAGTGTACACGCTCCCAGGGCCACGACCCCTTGTACATTACACTGGGTTCACGCCTCCAAGGCCAGGATCCTTCGTCAATTGCGCTGCGTCCGCGCTCCCAGGGCCAGGATTGTTGCACGACAAGCGTTTCGCCAGAGAGATCCCCAGATAATCGGCACGCAGGGTTCGCGATCCTCGAGCGGGCACGGAAAAACGCCAACCCCTGTTCTGCAAAACGTGCGTGGGGCCAAAGACATTCTTGACATTCCTGCGTGTGGAACGCCGAGCGGGCACGCAACAAGTCAACGTTTCCACGGTTGTACAGTGAATGTCTCCCTACCTCGTGTATTATCGTGAATTCTGCGCAAAAAGCTCCACACCCGTTTTTTGCTATGGAAAACGTGCGTCTGCGGGCACAACTATTGATCGAAGACCACAGATAAGGGGCGCATGGTCCTCGAGCGGGCACGCGCGAAACGCATTTGCTCGAAACCATGATCGGCCCACGAACCCGGGAAGGGAGTATGGACATATGAAGCATGAACACGTTTTCAAGACACCTGAATGGACGACTTGCACTTGCAATGCTGAATGTATCGATCTTGGTGTACCGTGCCGAGGGATGTGCTATGCTGTGCCATGCTGAACTGCGATGTGCCATGCCACGATTGTGCTCTACAGCGTTGTGCACCGAGTCCTCCGTGGCATTCAAGCCCTGACCGAACTGATCTGGATCGTCAGCTCGAGCTGCCTGAGCACATCGTAGCCGCCCCAGAGCTAGTTAAAGCGGACACGTGGTCACGTTCAATCAACGCGACCTCAAAATCCGACTCAGCGCCGACAAGGAACGACACGACACGGGGCACAGGCTCGCGGACGGGCCACAGGATGTGCCAGGGGCGCAATAGGGGATGCGCCAAGGGACGTGTCAGGGAACGCATCAAGGGACGTGCCCTGGACGTGTCAGGGACCTGCCACGGGACTTGCCAACGCGCGTGCCATGGGGCGGCCAGAGGACGTCATGCCAAGGGACGCTGCAAGGGGCCCGCCACGGAACGGGCAGGGGGAACGCCTGGGGACGAGCAAGGAAACACGAGAGAAGACGAGCCAGGGAACGTGTCACGCCGAGTGGCGGGCTAGGGGACGTGCCAGGGCACGTCACGCCTGAACGCCGCAAGAGACGCGCCTGGGGGCGCGCCAGGGCGCCAAGGGACGCCCCACGGACGGGCGGGGTTGGACTGCGACGCACTCTACTGCGACAAGCGTTTCGCTCGAGACATCCTAACACATCCTCATTTTAGCCATTCGCCTGGGCGACCTGGACACGTGAAACCAAGCGTCTGGCTCGAGACGTTCTCAACACATCCTCATGCTAGACATCCGCTTGGGCGACCTGGACATGTGAAACCAAGCGTCTCGATCGACACATCCTCAACACATCCTCATGCTAGACATCCGCCTGGGCGACCTGGGCACGCGAAAACGAGCGATCGCTCGCGACATCCTCCGAACATATCCATCTGAGACATCTGCCTGGGCGACCTGGGCACGTGAAAACAAATTTTGCGCTCAACACATCCTCAACACATCCTCGTGCTAGACATCCGCCTGGGCGACGTGGACACGTGAAAGCAAGCGTCTCGCTTGAGACATCCTTTAGACATCCTCGTGCTAGACATCCGCCTGGGCGACGTGGGCACGTGAAAACAAGCGTTTCGCTCGAAAACTTCCCAACACATCCTCATGCTAGACATCCGCCTAGTCGACCTGGACACGTGAAAGTAAGCGTCTCGTTCGAGACGTCCTCAACACATCCTCATGCTAGACGTCCGCCTGAGCGACCTGGGCATGTGAAAACAACCGTTTCGCTCGAGACCTTCTCAACACATCCTCATGCTGGACATCCACCTGGTCGACCTGGACACGTGAAAGCAAGCGTCTCGTTCGAGACGTCCTCACGAAATCCTGGTGCTAGACATCTGGCCTGGCAATCTGGAGGCCTGAAACCAAGCGTCTCGCTCGAGACACCAGACCTGGGCACGTGAAAACAAGCATTTCACCCGAGACATCCTCTGAATTCTGATCCCCGGGAGAGGAACGATCTATAGCACAAAACAAGTGTTTCGCTCGAGACATCTCTGACAGATTATGCAACACAAACGTTTCGCTCGAGACATCCGCAACAATGAAAATGCTGACTTCACCTTGCGTTTTATCGATCGGAACTTCAAAAACCAGGGGCTCGCTCGGGACATCTTCAAATCTTAATCTGCCGGTCCTCTTCGACCCCGTTGTGTACCAAGGAAAAAATCCGCTAGCCCTCTTCGAACTTGGCGCCGGGGACAGGTTTACATACTAATAGAAAACGCCTCTGCCCTTCCCCAAGAAAAATCACACCTTACCTAGCTATTTATCGCCAATAATTCCGCTCCTCGAAATTCCTGCGCGCGGGACGCGCCATCCTCGAGCGGGCACGCAAAAAGTCAACTTTTCCAGATTGTCTGTAAACTTGGTGTCTCCAACCCTGTGTTGTATCGTGGATTCTGCGCAAAACGCTCTGGACCCGATTTTTTACAAGGGAAAACGTGTGTTTGCGGACCCCGTTATTTATCGAGGATGCGAGATAGGGAGCACATGTTCCTCGAGCGGGCACGCGCGAAACGCATTTGCTTAAAACAAGGAGTCAAACTGCACCTTGTTATGTATCGTAAAGAATCTCGCCGGCCCGCTTCAAGTCGAAACCAGGAGTAAAACTACTAAAAGAGAACCCTGGGCCGGCGCCTTTTCCGGGAAAAAACAACGCTTCTGGGACAAGGAGTCGCTGCAGGGAGGCCAGCCAGACATCGGGGAGCCTTCCAGGCCGATGTACCCTTGCTGGCCGGCTTCTGATCTGAAGCCCTTTTTGGCCCTCCCAGGAGCTACCCGGGAACTGCCAGCGTCTCACGCGGCCCTCCGCCGACTATAACGCTGCCCCGGAAGGCCTGGTAGCTCGCGTCGAGCGCCACCAGCCCGTGCTGCTGGCCGCTGACGCCGATGCCCCGGACGCGCGCGGCGGCGTCCGGCCCGCCCCGAGGCGCGTCGCGCGCCATCTGCAGGGCCTCCGCGGAGGCGCGGAACAGCGCCTCCACCCAGACCGCGGGGTCCTATATCGAGGCAAGGGTTTCTCCCCTGGTTTGCTGGCGCCGTGGAGAGAGCAGCGGCCGTAAGTGTGCTTCCGTTGCTCGCCGGGCCCGGGGACCGTCAAGAAACGACTCGCTATGAAAAACCGGCCCCTGGGAAAAGGGTCGGGACACTTCCTGGGGCCGCGCATTGAAAAAATCACTACGACAGCACATGTCTGGGTCCATATCCACCGCCCGGGGAACATACGTCCTGGGAACACAGGGGGCCGGTGGACATGGATATATGTGTTGGCCCCAGGGGCTGGAATATATTCATATCCACCGCCTGCCGAGGTGTCTGAAGATCAATCCTCCAGGCGGCGGCTATATGAGTAGATCTCCGCCTCGGATCCTGCTCTGCGCAGCCCACGCCGCCGCCGGGGTTCAGGCCGTAGCTCACGGCTCCACGCCCGATCACCTCCTTTCGGGGGGGGCGGACGTGGACCCTCAGATCCGGACAGGGGAAAAAACAACAAGAACAACAAAAAACGCGACGTCCAATATTTGAACGCTTTCGACCTCTGGAAGGCGTTCCCTGGCCCTGGGGCCAACTAGAAAAACTGCTCGGGCTGAAAGGCCAGCCCTGATGAAGGGGTCGGCACCCCCAGGGGGCCGGGAAACATTGCGTCGTCGGAGGTGCAGACAGCACGACCCAGCCCCACTCCCAGCCAGGACCCCGTCTCGCGACGCGAGGGCAGGACAGCCCAGAATCGAATCGACAAGTCGCATGGGCGATCGAAACGAATCGAATCGGCGGAAATCGGCAGCCAAGTCGGGCGAAGTCGAATCGGCAGAAATCGGCAGGCTAGCAGGCCTCCATTGAGGAATCGGAATGAGCCCTGCGAGGGTGGATTTCTGGCTCCCCCGCCCCACCCCCCAAAACCCTAAACCCTAAACCCGAAACCCGACACCCGAAACTCTAACCCCCCCAACAAAAAACACCCCAACCGTGGCCCCCTCGATCACCAGAGGCCAAGAGCGGGCGCGCCCTGCGTCGGGGGGGTAGGGGGGCTGTACTGCCATGAGGGGGGGGAGAGAGGCCCAGACCTCCGACACCTCCATGTTCTCGAGACACAGGCCTCCGACCTCCCGACCCCTTCCCCCGGACCGGCCGGTCGCCCCGAGTCGTCTTTGACAGCCCCGATTTGCCCAGTAGAAGGGCCCCGAGAGGCCGAAGAGGCTGGGAGAAAAAAAAATCCGTCCCGATCTTGTTCGGGACGCCGGGAGTCTGGTAGGCGGACAGCAGAGAAGGGAGGAGGAGGAGGAGGAGGAGGAGGAGGAGGAGGAGCAGGAGGAGGAGGAGGAGCAGGAGAAGGAGAGGAGGAGGAGAGGAGGAGGAGGAGCAGAAGGACGAGGAGAAGGAGGAGGAGGAGGAGGAGGAGGAGGAGGAGGAGCAGGAGGAGGAGAGGAGGCAGCAAGAACGGGGGGGGCGCCAGCGAGCCAGCTCGCAGGGCCAGGACACCCAGCGCTCCCTGGCGCCAGAGGCCGCGAGCGGCACGCCTGGGAGAGCGGCCCAGCGGCGGTGCGCGGCGGTGCTGGAGCCAGCTGGCACGCCCTCCCACTCCTCCTCTCCTCCTCCTCCTCCTCTCCTCCTCCTCCTCCTCCTCCTCCTCCTCATCCTCCTCTCCTCCTCCTCCTCCTCCTCCTCTCCCTCCTCCTCTCCCTCCTCCTCCTCCTCCTCCTCCTCTCCTCATCCTCCCTCCTCCTCCTCCTCCTCCTCTCTCCCTGCTCTCCTCCTCTCCTCCTCCACCTCATCCTCCTCCTCCTCCTCCCCTCCTCCACCTCCACCCTCCCACCTCCTCCTCCTCTCTCCTCTCTCCTCCTCCTCCTCCTCTCCTCCTCCTCCTCCTCCTCCTCATCCTCCTTCCTCCTCCTCCCACCTCCTCCTGCTCCTGCTCCTCCTCCTCCTCCTCCTCCTCCTCCTCCTCCTCCCACCTCCTCCTCCTCCTCCTCCTCCTCCTCCTCCTCCTCCTCCTCCATCCTCCCACTCCTCCCTCCTACTCCTTCCTCCTCCTCCTCCTCCCTCTCCTCCCCCTCCTCCCTCCTCCTCCTCCTCCTCCTCCCCTCCTCCTTCCTCCTCCTCTCCTCCTCATCCTCCGCCTCCTCCACATCCTCCTCCTCCACGTCCTCCCCTGCCCCCTTTTCCCCACCCCCGTCCTCCAGCAATGTTCGCACCCCTTCCCCCAGACACCCTCGGGTCATGAAAAAACACGACGGAGGTCTTTGACTAGTTTCGGACTCTGGGGGCCCTTATCGGGCCTCGGGACCATCAACAAACGACTCAGGATGAAAAACTGGTCCCTGGAAATGGGTCGAGACCTCTGTGGGTCGACGTTATGAAACATCAGGACGTTGGGAGTCTGGGCCCCATTCCCCCTCAAGTTTCCCCTCCCCCCCGCCATTGTTCGTCCCCCCCCCCCTCCTCTCGTTCCCTGGCAGCGTTTGACCAAAGATCCTCGCCCCCCCGCTGGGAGAGCCTTGGCCCTGGTGCCCGACCTATACCCCCCGAGGTGGGAATAGCTGCCCAGCCAGATGCCTAATCCGTCGGTTTCGCTGCCTCCGTCCCCACCTCGAGGGGGGCAGGCTGGTGGCTGGTGGCGCTCAGCTGAGGAATCCTGGCCCACTGGGGATGGGGATAGGTCTGACGATGCTGACAGTCACCTCCCCTATCTGAAAGATCGTTGCCGTTGCCGTGCCAGTGCATCGTTGCCGGGCCAGTGCAGTGCATGATTGCGATAATTCCCCGCATGGTTTGCTGCAAGATTGCACGTGTACATGCATGCATGTTTTGCGCTTCCGTAGCCGCCGAGGCTCGAAACTTGTAGGGACACTTTTCCCATGAGCTAGAGTCAGACAGTATCGTAAGAATCGCGCATACACAGCTTGAGAGCTCTTTGGTTTCATCGAGGCAAAGCAAAAAGCATAACCTTTAGAAGGTTCGCGCGGGCTCCTTGGATCGGCGCCAGATGCCCCGGCCCCTGGCGCGCGGAGCACGCCATGGGCGGCTTCGGAGGCGCCGCCGGTGGGGTCCTGCGCCGACCCGAGACATACGCGCGGACCTCCGAAAGCTTCTGCGTGTGACGATGCTAATTGCAATTACTACACATTGTTCAGTTATATCTATTCGAGAAAGTTCTTATATATGTTTGGGGGGCCAAGATCCTTTCATTTCAAATTGTTCTATCCTGGGCCTCTTCCTGGCCACTAGGGGACCAGGCACAATTAGAAACGAGCACAACTAGAAATGAGCACGATTAGGAATGAACGACGTGTATCCGTCGCATGCATCTTATATTCTTAGTCGTGTTGAAAACCATGTCCTTCGTCTTATAAGCACGAGCAGTCTTATTGTGTGTCTTCGCGCTGGTCCTCGGATTCTTCGCCTGCCCATTACCCTCGGTCTTATTATTCTCATGACTGTCCTTATGTTTCCTCGTCTTCTTCGAGCTCGTCCGGGCAGCTCCTTGGCCTCGACGTCGTACACCAGAGCCTTCAGGCCCTGCGTGCCCGCATCCACGCCCAGGTAGAGGGCGCCGCTGCCGGCCGTGCCCGCCATCGGCGGCGCCGCGGGGGCCCGGCGGGGCGAAGGACGGAGCTGCGATGCGCGAATGTATCCAACCAGACCGCGGGGTCCTTGCGAGGCGAAGGTACAAACACAGACGTGCTCGCGTCTTGCATCACATCGGCCTTTGTCAGTGTTCAGCCTCCCAGGGCCCCGTCAAAGAACGGCTCGCGACGACGAATTGGCTCTCGGGGAGAGGGTCGAGACTTCCGGGGAGCGCGTCTGGGCCCATATCCACCGCCTGGGGAACCTACGTCCTGGGACCACAGGGGGCGGGTGGACATGGATATATGTGTCGGCCCCAGGGGGTGGAAAGGGTCGGGACTTCTGGGGACAGGGTCGGGACTTCCGGGGAGCGCGCATGGAAACATACAGAATCGCACGTCTGGGCCCACATCCACCGCCTGGGGAACCCACATCCTGAGACCACAGGGGGCCGGTGGACATGGATATGTGTGTTGGCCCCAGGGGGCTGGAATATTTTTGGAGGCAAGGCTAGACGGAAAACCATCTGTGCCGACGAAATAGAATTCAGAGCATGCAAGGCCGCCTCAGCAAGCCTGGGCCTGGCTGAGGGCGACGGCGGCGAGGCTGACCTTCCCTCGCAGACGCTTTCGCGGTCTCACCTCCTCCCACTTCATGGCGTTGGGGGGAGGAAGACGGCCGCCCTCCAGGTACTTCAACCCCCCTCCCTGGAAGATTTATTTGCCAAGGTTCTCCGAGAGGTCACAAGTCTCCGAGAGGTCACAAGTCCGAGAGGTCACAAACCCCCCTCCCTGGAATACACTCATGTCCGCCGCCTGCCGAGGTCCCCGAAGATCGATCCTCCGGGCGGCGGTTCTATGAGTAGATCTCCGCCTCGGATCCTGCTCTGCGCAGCCCACGCCGCCGCAAGGGGAGGAGGAGGAGGAGGAGGAGGAGGAGGAGGAGGAGGAGGAGGAGGAGGAGGAGGAGGAGGGGCGGGGGAGGAGGGTGGAGGAAGAGGAGGAGGAGGAGGAGGAGGAGGAGGAGGAGGGGGAGGAGGAGGAGGAGGAGGAGGAGGGGGTTCAGGCCGCAGCCCACGGCTCCACGCCCGATCGCCTCCTTTCGGGGGAGGGGGGGGCGCTCGACTCTCCGCCTCCGGAGGTCCCAGGACACAGGGCCCCCCCACGCCAGGTATTGAGAAATCCTCGCCTCGGAGGGGGGGGGGGTCATCGGAGAGGGCTGGCGGCGCGCTCACCATGGGGGCGGCGCGAAGGGGGGCGGCCTTTCTGAGGAGGCGGACGGGCTCTCTGGAGGCGGGGGCCTTCGTCGGAGCGCTTGGGTGAAGGCCTCCTAGATGGGGTCCGATCGATGTGGTCGCTGGATCGCGCCGCACCGCCAGTGCATCGGCGATGCATCGGCGATGCATCGCCGAAGTTGGCGACGCAGCGGCGACGCCGGCGTGGAGAAAATCGGGCTCCGCATCGATCCGCATCGCCTATACATCGGCGATGCGGCGCGATCCTCCGACCCCTTCTACTCCAATCCCATCTAGGAGGCCTACTAGATTGGAGGCTTCGGAGAAGGCTTCTCGGAAGCCAGGCGAGCGTTTTCTGCCAGGCCCCAGCCCGCCTTCTGCTTTTCCCCCCTCACACACAGAGGCGGTGCCCAAAGAAAAGCCGGTATCGAGTAACATTTCCGCGGCGCGAGCTCAGGGGAACAAAGCCGGTCGTAAGTAACATTTCCTCGGCGTGTCAGCGCGAATCGAACAGGTCACGAAATTCAGCCTGAAAGTCTCACAAAACTCGAGCCCCCCCGGCCTTCTCAGAAGGCGGACGGGTTCTTCGAAGGCGGGGGCCTTCTTGGGAGCGCTAGGAGGCTTCTGGGAAGGCTTCTCGGAAGCCAGGCGAGGAGGAGGAGGGGGAGGAGGAGGAGGAGGAGGAGAACTTTTTGTTACCATGTCCCCAACCGCGCCTTCTCGGAAGGCCTGCTTTAGAAGGCCACACCAATCGCGCTCCTCCGCCCTGTTTCAGTGCGCGGCGCCGGAAGCGGCATGTTCGTGCCGTGGCGAGGTCAGCGTAGTCTCCTGGCAAGTTCAGCCTTGAGCGACTGCTCGGCGGAAAAAGACGGGGTCCTAAGGGATAGGGGTCAAGGGGGTAGGAGGGGATCCAAGGGTGGTTTTACATTGCTTGAGGCACCACGTCCTCAAGACCCCATCCCTCAGGTCCCCATCCTTCAACCACCGAATCGCGGCCTTCCGCCACCTCGGCTGCTCCGATGCCGACCGACTCCGGCACACGAACGGCGTTCAATCCAGGACGCCCGCGCAGGGGTCGCCGCCGCGTCAACGCGGAAACACTGCCTGTGACAGCGATATGCGCCAACCTTGGAGGCGAGCTTCCGCTCGGGATATATGGTGCAACAGTCCTCTAGTATATTCGGCGGTGGACAAACCTCCCTTTAGTAAACCTCCCCTTAGTGGAAACGGCCTGGGACCGAAACCGTCGGACCTGAACCCGCAGAAATGTCGGCCGCGACGCCCTCTCGCGAACCGAAAACGGCCAATTCCTTAATCGACGTGTCAAGGCAGGAGGTCTATCCACCCCCGATATATTGTCAACCAGGCGGTGTAACCAGAAAGCGCCTGCCACGAACCTACACCATACGGTTTTCCCCTGTGCGCGTCGGCCCTGCCGCGCACATCAGAAATGTGTCCGGGCGCTGCCGCAGTGGAGGCCTGGCTGGCAATTTGCACCTGGGCAGCTGGGGTCAGAGGATCGCGCGGCATCGCCAAGGCATGGTCGCTGCATCAACGGCATCGGCGATGCGTCGGTGCCGGCGTGGAGAAATCGAGCTCCACGTCGAACCCCATCTCCGAAGCAGCGGCAGCACGGCGCGATCTTCCGACCCAACTTACTCTTATCCGACTTGCGACCAACTTGCCATCGCTAGGACGCCCATCCCCCGTGCATGTGTTGGTTTCGTGCGTGTATTTTCCCCAGAATGACCCATAGTGGTCCTCGATGGCCCTTGCCGAGAAAAGCGCACACGTCCGAGCTAAGCCAATCCAAGGGAGGGAGAGGAGGAATCGAACGCGGGGTCAGGCCCTGCTCGAGCCAGTGGCTAGACGGACCCCCGCTGCGCATCTGATCTGCATCGAGGCGGATGCTGGCAGTGCGCCTGCCAGAGGCGTGCAGTGGCTGGGAAGGCCTCCGCATGCGGCCACGTGCACAACATGTGAAGGAAGAGAAGGGGGGATCATCTTCCAACGTGTAAGCCGTCACGTTGAAGACCCCCCGCCCCGAGAAAGACGAGAGCCCCTTGGGCATGCCATTTCAGCAAGGGCCCGATCTTGAAGAGGAGCACCCTCAATGCATGTAGCCGTGGCGCGACGCCATGGAATCTCTATCGTAAAGCTTGAGTGGTGTCTCAAGCGGGAACCCCGTTTTGAACAGGGACCGCCATCCATTCGTGTAAACGTTGCGCTGAAACATAATTGTGGTCATACCATGTGAGGGAGTGTCCAGCGAACACCTCGCTCTTCAAAGGAATCGCCCAGCATGTTTGCAGTTGGCGGGAACTTTTAAAACGAGCGTTCACGCCACAGGGGCGAGAACAGCACTTCGCACACGGCCTGCCCTCCGTCCCTGTGATTCTTGGAATGTGTCAAGCTTCAGCGCCCTGCATGGTGAGGAGGTCTCAAGCGAAACGCCGGGCCCCCTCCTCCTCCTCCTCCTCCTCCTCCTCCTCCTCCTCCTCCTCCTCCTCCTCGCCCACACGTCTCGTGGTTCGGCGAGGAGGGGTTATCAGGAAGAGGGGCTGAGGAGAGCAGGGTATGCGGTACGCGCAAGGGCGTGGCGCGGGGGAGCGGCCCTCTGAGAAGGCGGGGGCGGCTCCTGAGAAGGCTGGCGGCTCCTTGGAGGTCCTCACAGCTTCTCGGTGGGCTTCTATTCTCAGAGGCACGTCCCCAGAGGCCTGGAGCCCATCACCGGGGACAGCTGCTCGTCCCGGCTAGATGCTTGGTGGTCCCAGGGCCCGATGACGGACCCCAGGGGCCGACATCGAGGAGAGCATCCAGGACTGACACAGACAGATCGTCGGAGATGCATCTGGGTTCTAAGCAAGTCCCCCATCTTCCTAGACTCGCCATCGCTCGGACGTCCTTTCCCTGTTTTTTTTCGGTTTCGTGCGTGTTTTCTTCGCCAAATGATCAAGGATGCTCCTCGATGGTGCCCGCCGAAGGAAAAATGCACACGTCCGAGCGATGCCAAGTAGAGGGCAGCGCGCCGCCAGAGGCACGAGGCGGGGACTCACCCACAGCTACCACCCCGGGGGGATCGACCATCGGGGACCTGGGCAGGCGGTGGATATGGATTTGGTGTTGCGCTCCCCTCCTTGGGCCCGAACACACCCAGATCCACCGCCTGCCGAGTGCCGAGGTCCCCAGAGAGCGACCCCTCGGAGGAAGTAAGGCATGAGGAAGCAAGGAGGAGGAAGCAAGGAATGTGAGGAGGAGCCAGCAAGGAAGGAAGGAGGAAGGAGGGAGGAAGTAAGAAGTGAATAAGAAATGGAGAGGAAGTAACTCGCCACCGCTCGGACGTCAATTTCCCATGCATTTTTCTGTGTCGTGCGTGTTTTTGTTGCTCGATGGTCCAGGATGGTCCTGGATGGTCCTGGATGGTCCTCGCCGAGAAAAAATGCACACGTCCGAGCGATGCCAGGGTAAGGAGTGAGGCGGAAGCAGGGAAGGAGGCGCCCAGCCGCACGCCTCCAGCGCCCGGTCCAGCCGCTCCACGCCGCCGAGCACCAGCAGCTTCGGCAACGGCAGCGCCACGAAGAGGCCCGAGAGGCCGCGGAACCTGCGCAGCCGCAGCTCGGCACCGAGGCTTACAGTGCTCGCTGGTTCTCGTGCGCAGGAGTCGGGCGGTGTCTCATTTCTCATTCTTCTATCCTGGGCCTCTTCCTCGACACCGAGGCAACTGCCATGATGCAGAGTGCAGAGAGTGAGATCTGCACCACTGCCCAGAGTTAAGAAACCTGAGGCTGCGAGAACGGACTTCACGCCAAGCATTTTCTTAGACAGTAGTCCAGGACCAGATACATGAGCATTCTACAAAGAAAAGAAGCTCCCAGGAAACGCCCAGGGTCCAGTCGAGATTCTTGATCTTCTTC